CCTAAGGTGATCCTTCAATCCCCAACGGGAAATAACTCTTCTTCCACACCTCAACACATACATGAACTAGGGATTGAAGACCCTTTTGCTGACCTGGATTTGAAGGTATGCAGAATTGGCTCAAACATAGCCAAGCGTACTCATCCACCTATACAAACTCAGGAACAGAATTGGTCGATCACTCCTCTATCTCGAGAATCGTTGGAAGCATACCAACGGTACCTTCAAGTCCCGGTGCCAAAAAACGGATAGGCGCAGGGTGGCCATCTAACCACCCTATGTCCAGTCCCCAACATATCTCTCGCGAGTCCTATAAAGGACACCTCTTGTGACATTTCAAAATCCGTTGAAAATTCAAAACATGATAAGACTTATAATAACGAAAAAGAATTTTCAAAAACGATAAACACTCAAGATAACCCAATAACGGTGGATGAATTGGACGACCAAGACGACGATCAAGAGAGCCAAGAGTCTGAAGAAATCTCTCAACCTGATGAAGTCACTTCCCATGTTGAGCAATTCAAGAAGAGGTTCGATGGTGACCCAACGGCTATCATTGAAGAGACGATTAATGTAAACTTAGGAACTGAGAAGGACCCAAGGTGAACCAAGATTGAAACCTCCTTATCTCTTAAGGAGCGAGACAATTTGATTTCCTTTTTCAAGGAATATCGCGACGTCTTCGCCTGGTCAGGGTTAGATCCCACATTGGTGCAACATCACCTAATATTCAACGAAGGGGCAAAGCCTATAAGGCAGAAACTCCGACGTCAAAAGACCCACCTTGAGCTCAAAATTAAGGCAGAAATCGACAAACTGCTCAAGACGTAGTTCATTACCCCTGTCGATTACTCAGAATAGTTGGCCAACATAGTGGTCGTACCCAAGAAAGTCGGGAGGATTTGAGTGTGTGTCGACTACAGAGACCTCAATAAGGCTTGTTCTAAAGACAATTTTCCATTACAAACATAAATGCCTTGGTCCACAACACTGCGGGGCACCAGATGTTGTCATTCATGGACTGCTTCTCGGGTTACAACCAGATCCTCATGGCAGAAGAAGACCAAGCCAAGACATCGTTCATAACGCAATGGGGAACTTACTGCTATTGTGTCATGCCATTTGGCCTAAAAATTGCAGAGGCAACTTATCAACAGGCAATGACTAACATCTTCCACGACTTAATGCACACCATCATGGAAGACTACGTCGACGACATTCTAGTCAAGTTGAAGACCAGGTCTGATCAACTCACCAACTTGAGAACCATTTTCGAAAGACTCTAGAAACATCAACTCAAACTCAATCCACAGAAATGTGTCTTTGGAGTTGAATCTGGCAAATTACTAGGCTTTGTAGTGAGCCAAAGGGGCATTGAGGTGGACCCGTCCAAAATACAAGTCATCACTGAAATGCCCCCTCCCCAGAACATCAGAGAAATCCGTGGGCTTCAAGGTCACATACAAGCCATAAGGCGTTTTAACAAGTGCTCGCCATTCAATAGACTCCTTAAGAAGGATACCTCATTCCTATGGGATGATGAATGCTAAGAAGTGTTCGATCAAATCAAGGAGTACCTCAACAAACCTCCCATCCTTACTCCTCCTAGTCCAGATAAACCCTTGTTCCTATACATATCTGTGAAAGAGAAGACCATGGGGGCAATGCTCGGACAATATGATGACCATGGAAAAGAACAAATGATATACTATATCAGCAAAACCATGGTCTACTATGAGACAAGATATATGGATGTGGAAAAGCACTACTTGACACTTGTGCGATCTATGCAGAAATTAAGACATTATGTTTTATCTCGTACAGTCAAGCTCATCTAAAAAATAGATCCACTCAAGTATCTATTGGAGAGACCAGTTCTTAACGGATGTTTGGTGAAGTGGATAATGCTATTGAGCAAGTTCGAGATCGAATATGTCACTCAAAAATCGATCAAAGGACAATTTATTGCTGACAACTTGGCTGAACACACACTGCCAGATAACATTCCTATCAACATGGATCTCCCTGGTGAAAACCTCTTCACATTTGAGGACTCAATTTGGGAACTATACTTCGACGGCACAAGGAACAAATACGGGTCAGGTATACTATGCTCACCCGAGCAGATTTTAATGGAATAGCCGTCAGATTGAATTTCCCATGTACCAATAACATTGTGGAATATGAAGCCTTGATAGACAGGCTCGAGAATGCCATGGGAATGAAAATCCAGCATATATGAGTGATTGATGACTCCTTACTCGTCATAAACCAAGTTCAAGGGATTTGGAAGGTGAAAGAAGAAAATCTCAAACCTTATCAAGAAAAGGAGGAAAAGCTGATCCCATGTTTTAAGAAAATCACCTTTCAACAAGAAACTAGGGAAAATAATCAGTTCGTCGATACTCTTGCAACCCTTGCTTCAATGGTTGATATTCCCTCATAAATTGCCATGCTGCCATTCTACATCAAGAACACACATGACCCTTCCCCACCAAGGATCGAAGAAGAAATAGTGCAAGAAAATGAGAACGATGGGAAAGTGTCTCTCTTGGCTTCAGATGCACTAGTTAAAGCAAAACCATGGTTCCACGATGCTCTATCCCTGCTGAAAGATTGGTCATACCCCAAACGAGCCACCAAAAAGGATAAAGAAGCCTTTCGAAGGTTTTCTATGAGATTCTTAATATGAGGTGATCTCATGTTCAAGAAATCCTTCGATGGCATCATTTTATGGTGTCTCGATCAGCCAGAAATCGACGAAGTACTGACAAAGTTGCACAATGAAGGAGGTCATTCTAGGGTAGTCGCCTTAGCTTAGAAAATCAGGCGCCAAGGCTATTACAGGGCCACCATGGCCGAAGATTGTTGGAAGTTTGTCAAGAGGTGTCCCAAATGTCAACTTTATGAAGACCTCATCCATGCATCATCCGTATCACTCAACTCAACACCGCCTGTACGGCCCTTTACCATGTGGGTCGTTGATATCACCGGAATGATCTCACCAAAAGCTTTGAACGACAACCATTTATATTAACGCCTATAGAGTACTTCACCAAATGGGTAGAAGCTACATCGTTTGTCAAAATTGAACGACAACATGTTACCCGTTTCATAAAGAACAACATTGTATTCAGATTTGGTGTTATTGAGTCAATCATTACTGACAATGGATCCAATTTCAAAAATGAAAGGGTCACTAAGGTATGCAAAATGTTCGGGATAACCCAAAAATTCTCCACACCTTACTACCCTCAAGGAAACAAACAAGCAGAGGCCATGAATAAAGGACTTATCAGAATTACAGATAGAATAATAGAGGGTGGTAAAGATTGACACGAAAAGCTAAACGACATGCTATGGGCCTACCGAAGAACTGAGAAGACTCCTACTGGCATGACCCCATACTCATTGGTGTATGGTATGAAAGCAATGCTTTCCATTGAAGTTGAGATACCGTCTCTCTGAGTGCTTATTCACTAAAATTCAGATGAGGAACAAAAGATCGAAGCACGAATTGCTGCCCTTGTTGCTTTGGATGAAAAACGACTACGAGCAACACAAAATATCGTTGCTTCCCATGGAATAATCGAGAGGGCATACCAAATAAAAGTTGTTCATCGACAATTTAGAGAAGGGGACATGGTACTCAAAAAAATCTTCCACACTCCTGCAAATCCACCCCCTTTAGGCAAGTTCAAACCTAATTAGAAGGGGCCATTTGTGGTTACTCGAGTTCACACAAGCAATTCTCACAAGATAAAAAATCAGGAGGGATATGAGCTCAACGACCCCATTAATGGTATGTATCTCAGAAAATACTACCCGTAATGGGTTCAAAAGAGTGGTGAAAAACCTGGAAGGCACCACAAAAAAAACAAAAAAAAACAAAAAAGAAAAAAAAAATGAACGCGGTGAAAACTTGAAAAGCCATCATGGGTAAAGAAAAAAGAATAAAAAAAACTCTCCAAGAAGGAGCTTCCAATTCAAAACACTCAAGTACAAACAAGTACTTGCAAGTTTCAACAACACTGCACAAGCAGACCTTGAGGATGAAAACTCCTCCTAAACTCTGCAGGTTCTCAACAGAACTAACTCAGAAAGATGCTGGAAGGTGACATAAATGGAAAACCGAAGTGACATCGGCGAACTCTGGAAGAACGTCAAGACTTCTTCAAGATGGAAGCCCGACAATAATCCAAAGAACTCTTCATGGACCCGCGAAGCACAAAATGAAAGCTCCAAATGTAAGAGGACAACTTCAAGACTTTTGAATTTTCAAGATTCCACAAGGAAATCCTTTTCATTATCTTTGGGTAAAACATAAAGAAAATGACCACCAAAGGGGCCACATGTGGCAAAACTGTAAGGCCTGTCCCTTTTGAAAATGCTTTTCAAATTGACTTTTAAATCATTTATTTCCAAAACTTTTTTAGAAAGGACTTCCTCCATCACTACAAGAGGTTAAACTGTTAGTCGTCTTGCCTCGTTCTCAAAGCCAACTTCCTACACCTGTTATGAAGGCTCGAAACTAGCCAGCCACTCCATGGTTGTATGAGTATAACTACCAACTACCACATATCGGAGATGGGTGAACCTCGCCAATGACGATATTGGCTAGTCTGGGATGACTTTCTCTCGACTGGATCCCTTAAGGTAAAATGAGGCAAGCTCATCCCCGTGTGTGTGTATGACGGTCTGATAATCGAAATTCAAGATAAAAACCCTACAACTAGGGGACTGAATGTGTAAACATTTAGTTTGAAAAGTGTGTGCACAAAAAGTATCCCACTCGGCTTCGATGAATCAAAAGCACACGTAAAGATAAATCAATACCCCACAACTAAGGCAGGTAAAAAAAAAAAAGGGGGGGGGGGGGGGAGGGGGAGAATGAGAACAAGAAAGATAAACAAGAAACGAGAGAGTCATAATGTTTATATGTACTTTAAGGTCCATAATGATCTCAAAAAAAAAAAAGGAGGAAGAAGAGAGAAAAAGAAGAAAGGTCACATCTTGGACCCTGAATCCTCCTCAACCTTTGGTGTACGAGTGCTTGCCTCTCCCTCCAACCTCTGTTGTACCCCCCTCAGACTCTTTGTCACCTAAGTAGATGCCCGAGATTGCGACTGACTCCAAGCGAAAGATGGGAGCAGCACCCTCACATAAGGGTTTGCATCTACAAAAGAAGGTTACCACCCGCTGCCAATAGAAGCCTTGACAATTAACCACTTATATTTATAAGACCTTTCACATTCTTCAGAAGCTCATGGCATCGATCTCTGGCTGAATTCTATTAAACCAAAAACACAACATGAGAGAAGCTGAAAAGAAAAAAGAAGAAAAAAAGAAAAAAAGGGTATAGAAGAAAAACATACCCTCTCCAATCAGTAGCGATCTAGACGTCTCTCTAAATCTTCAATGCGGACAGGAGATGGTCCAGGAAGGGTGGGAACAACAACAGAAGAAGATGGTACCGATTGTACTCTTTCCAGCTAAGCACGAACTCTCTCCAACTCATCCCTGATAGAATCACGCTCCGCTTTTGTCATGTCCCTTGCTTCTCTCATCCCCTTAAAGTCGCAACGAAGACTCTTGAGATCCTCAGCAATCGAATCTCGCTCCTCTATCACCGAGTCACGTTCAGCAGGAAGAGAAGCGACTTCCTCACCAGAAAATTGATCCCCGCCAAGATAGGCAGTCCTCAGCTGTCGCATCATTCCCTCACCATGATCAATCAGGGCGGCTACATCTCTCAAAACAACTCGGTATTTCTCCTCATATAAAGACAAATAAATGCTCTCCTCCTCCTCCTCCTCACCGATAACATGAGCAGTCATATCCGTCCACTCCTCCATCCAAGGAGTCATCTTTCTCATATAGGCATCCTCATTAGCAGTGCTGACCATAATTGGAGTCCATGGCAGAGTAATCTTGAAGGAAGACTGAGGAAGGCCAAACTGATGTCGTACTCGACCCGAAAAGTATGACATTACTAAGAACATGCAGATCAAATGGGTCGTCGTCCTGAAAGTTCGAGAATATGCGGCATAAATCGCTGAGACAGGGTCAACTCTCATAGGAGTCTAGTCAATCTGGAAAATAAAAGAAGATAAGTCAACTCAAAGAGTAGGATTTATTATTCAAAAAGAAAAAAAACGAAGGAAAGAGAGAGGGACTCGCAACTCACCTCCCCGGTGGCCTGGGTATCAAAGAATAGAGAGTAGTACAATCTTGAGAAGACCTCGTCAGTCTCCCACACTCCATATGACCAACGATGAATAGTCATAAATGACAGTGCTAACCTGGAAGTGGGCGAGGAATAGTGATATGTTCCCATGCCCAACCCTAGAGAAGAATTGAACACCCCCAAATAGCGGCCCCTCTTGGCAACACTACAAAGATGATGGTGTAACCAGCCCACAATCGCCGGACCTCGGGCTACTGGCTCCAAATAATCCAGCCGTCTGGTCGGCTAAACCACCGATAAATGAGCTCGAACATTGGATCGATCAGAAAACAGATACTCCCCAAACAAATATACGAAAAAAGCCCGCAAGGAACATTTCTCACCATCTGAAAGTGGCTCATGATCGATGGTCAAATCCACCTCCTGTCGAAACAACTATGGCTCATCCTCAATCATGACCCGCTCATGCGCATCTCAAATCTTCTCTCTCTCTTGGTCTCGCCACTCCTCATTAGAAAGCAACATTGGAGGAGGTATCGTGTCCTCATCTAAAAATGCACCCCCATCCATATCTACACCGTCAAGCTCGGGAGCGTCACGCTCAACTCCCTCTGGATCCACTGATGACCGGACACTCAACTCTGCCAAAGCTTGGATAGCCGCTCTAGTCGGAGGACGGCTAGATTCGCCATGAACCGACCCACTCACTCTAGGACCCCTCGACTCGCTGCCCTCCTCCATTTGGGCCTTCCCTCTATGGGATGGTCTACTACCTGCGGAAATCGAAATGTGAGGAGCACGACCACCCGTCATCCTTTCTACACGATGGGGAACATGAGTAAATTCCCACCTTAGCTTCCCAAGATGGATCTATGATTCATGCATGCCCTTGATCTTTTCATAAGGAATACTAAACAATTCCTTACAGTCAGAGGCATAACTAATAGACGACTCTGGGGGAATACTAAGAAAAGGCTCACCCTCACTCTGAACCTCAAGAATCTGGCTAACATCCTCAAGAGTAGGAGCAAGTTCGTCACATCATAAGGAATCGAGCTGGTCTCCGGTATATATCAAAGGCATAACTCAATGATCAAAGCATCATCCAAGCTAAAAGGCCTGATCCTACAGATGTCCCACAAACCTATCCTGGCAAGTGCTTGTCTCTGCCCAGGAGTCAGTAACTCCGCCCATTCTACAGTCTACATAGAACCCCTATAAAAAATAAAAAAATAAATAAAACATAAAAATAAGGGGAGGAGCCATCAATAAAAAAATTAACAGCAAAAAACCCCATAAGGGAGGCAAGAGCAACAAAATCCCTACAAAAAAAAAAATATCCAAAAAAAAAAAGAAGGGTATGGTCATTTTGCACTCAAGGGTATTTTGGTCATTTTTACATCCAAGAGGCATTATGGTCATTCTGCCATCCCTAGAAATAAGGGGCAGTACCAATCACTCATGATTAGCCTCGAAAAGGAGAAATTACACTCAGGGGCATTTTGATCATTTTGCACTTAGCGGTATTTTGGTCATTTTTACATCCACGAGGCATTGTGGTCATTTTGTACATCGAAGAGGCATTATGGTCATTCTGTCATCCCTAGAAATAAGGGGTAGTACTAATCACACATATTTACCCTCGAAAATAAGAAAGTGCACACAGGGGTATTCTGGTCAGTTTATACTCAAGGGTATTCTGGTCATTCTGCCCTCAAGAGTATTTTGGCCCCTTTTTACAGTTCGAAGAAAGAAAAGATGGTGCAAAAACTTTGACCTGAACCCAGAAACGAATAAACTTTGTCTAGCACAAGAAATTAGGATTCAACCTAACTCTCGACCATTCAACCATTTAACCAAACTGTTCGTAAGCACCTCAAAAGCAATTTCAAGAGTAGAATCCACACATGTTCGAACAATCTTTCAAAAAAATGTCCAATCACAATCAAAATATCCTATTGAAGCTTTGCAAATCATCTTCTACTTCGAAATTTGGGGAGGAAAATCATCATTTTTTAACTGAGCCAAAATCAGTTGTATGTCACTTTCAAAACCACCCAAGTTTTTCAACAAACACATCATGGTCATGTTCAAGCATTCTTTGAAGCTTAAAAAATAGTGTTGAAATAGGTTTTCTACCAAAAGTGAAAGTATAACAATCAAAACTTTTTAAATGAATTACATGATTCAAACAAGTTTTTCAAAATTTGGGCAAAAAAATCATACAATTTCATCACATCAAAATTACCCTTTCATTTGGTTTTGAAGTTTGTACCATCTCTTACCCCAATTTTCACTAAGCATTTCAACAAACGCATCATGATCATATTGAAGCATTCTTTGAAGCCAATAAAATGGTATTGAAATAGATTTTCTACCAAAAGTGAAAACATGACAATGAAAGTTTTTTAAGTGAATTAAATGATTCAAACAAGTTTTTTAAAATTTGAGCAAAAAAAAAAATCATACAATTTTACTTCGCCAAAATCATAATCTCATTTGGTTTTTGAAGCTTGTACCTTCTCTTGCCCATTTGATTTAGAAATATGACGCGATTTAAGTGTCTATTGATGCCCTTCACCTTCCATCGTCACACTACCGAGAAAATCGAAGCTAAATTTTTGAAATGGGCTCTAGAATGGATGATATGTGGAGGTTGAAATGGTTCCAACCTAATTCTAGAGAGAGAGAATGAAGACCAACGTACTTGTGTACGGGAGCCTTCTGGCGGACGCGTTTATCCAGCTATTCACCTCCTGCGCTCCTCAATGACTTTCGAAGGTCTAGCATAAAGGACATGTTTACCCAACTTTCTTCTTCTGTTGACGAGAAGCAAGTCACTGGAAAGCTTCTTTTGGGCGTCTCAAATTGTTAATACGTTCTAGATGCATTTGAGGGTGTGGAGTATCAAAGAGAGTTAGCTGAGACCTCAAGAAAGGAGACTAGGATTTCATGGATTGGAAGGACAAGCATTTGAACGATTTTGTCTCTTAGATGAATTGGATTCATTGCCCAGGATGGCCACTTATGAATGGAGAGAGAGCATCCACTTGGAAAAATCAATCTCTGCTGTTCAAATAATAGGTGGACTTCTGTGGGTTCTTTGGATTTTTACGGACGACTCTACATGCGTCGCCAGGCGACAGTCCGTGTAGCCCAACCCAAAATTTTTATTGTGATTATTATTATTATTATTATTATTTTTATTTTAACCAAAAAAAAATGTGTTTTACGAACAACACTATTGGTGTTGTCCGGGCGACACAGTTCGTGTCACCTAACCCAATTTTCTTTTTCTTTATTTTAACCAAATAATAATAATAATTAATTCTTGAAAAAAAAGACCCCTTCTCATCCCATTTTTCAAAATAAAAAAAAGAAAAAATATTTCTGTAGACCCAATTTTTTAATTTTATTTCTCCATAGACCCAAACTTTCCAAACCTATCTTACTAAATAAAGATTTCATCTTTTATACGTATTAACCCCCTAAACGATGTTTACCTATTTTTACCTTAATTTTTTAGCCCAAACAAATTTGAAAAATACCTCTCTAAAAAACCTACCTTTCTCTCTTTTTTCTCTATCTTCACGTGCTTCTATCATTGGGAGAAAGAGAGAGAGTTGGGGGAACAGGGAGAGAGACACAGGGGAAGGGAGACAAAGTTGCGGGAAGAGAGAGAGGGGGTTTGGGAGATTGGAGAGAGAGATAAAAACATGGAGAGAGAAGTTTAAAAATGACGTTTTTATAAAATTTGTTTGGGTTAAAAAATAGAATAAAGCTGATCTAGGGGGTTTAAAGATATAATAAATAAAATTTTTATACAGTTAGATAGGTTTTAAAACCTTGGGTATATGGAGAAATGAAACTTAAAAATAAGGTTTATGGAGATATTTTCCCTAAAAAAAAATTTTTTTTTTATATAAGCGACACGCTTAGTGTTGCCCAGCCTGTGAGGGTGACACTAAGCGTGTCGACCAGGCGACATCACTAGTGTCGCCCAAATATTTTTGCGAAAACCCTCCTTTTCTTAATTACTGTTGTCGCCCAAATATTTATGCAAAAAATCTTTTTTTTTACAATTCCCCATCTTTCCAATAAATAAATAAAAATTGTATGGTCGACACGCCTAGTGTCGCCCAGTTTGTGCGGGCGACAACACACGTGTCGCCCGGGCGACACTACTAGTGTCGCCCAAATGTTTATTTTGCAAAACCTTTTTTTTCAATCCCTACAAAAGACTTAATAAAAAACAAATTTTTTTTTTTTGGTGGGCGACTCCAGTTGTGTTGCCCATTCATGGGCGACAACACCAGTGCCGCCCAAAAACATTTTGGCCCCCACTCAATTTTGGTGTCTTCCAGGGACCGATCTTTGGCTTACCATGTGTTTTTATGACTATTTCCAAACATTTTTATTAATTTTTAAAAATTTCAAATGCTCCTCTATGGCACGAGCCTAAACTGCCAACCAGTTTTTCAAAAATAAAAATTTCAAAAAATAAAAAAGAAAACGTTCCTCGGTGGCATGAGCCTAAACTGCCAACCAAAGTCCAATCAAGAAAACTTCAAACTCGTGCGACGTAAAAGAGCCGAGACAGGAAAAACGTCAACTCGTGCGACATAAAAGAGCCGAGACAGGAAAAACGTCAACTTGTGCGACGTAAAAGAGCCGAGACATATACTGTCTAGCCCCGTATGACATGAAAGGTTGGGTGTATCCAGAAAACATCAAACTCGTGGGATGTAAAAGAGCCGAGACAGATATCGTCTAGCCCCGTATGACGTGAAAGGTAGGGTGTATCCAAAAAAACGTCAAACTCGTACGACGTAAAAGAGCCGAAACAGGTACTGCCTAGCCCCGTATAACACAAAAGGTTTGGTGTATCCAAGGCACAACCACCATGTTCAATGGAAAAATGTCAAACTTGTGCGACATAAAAGAGCCGAGACAGGTACCATTTAGCCCCGTATGATGAAGAAGGTCGGGTGTTTCCAGTACAACGTCAAACTCGTATGATGTAAAAGAGCCGAGACACGTACCGTCTAGCCCTGTATGACGTGAAAGGTTGGGTATATCCAATTCAACGTCAAACTCATGGGACGTAAAAGAGCCGATGCAGGTAACGTCTAACCCCATATGACGTAAAAAGTTGGGTGTATTTCGTCTATCCCCGTATGGCGTAAAAGGGCCCGTTGTAATCCGTCTAAGCCTGTATGACGTAAAAGGTCAAGTGTATTCCATCTATCTTCGTATGACGTAAAAGGGTCGGGTGTATTCCGTCTATCCCCATATTGATGTAAAAGGATCGGGTGTATGGTCCATCGCTGCATGACGCTCAACTGCTTAGAGGGCTCTATGGTTGTAAGAGTTAAAACTACTAACCAACCCTATTTTTCGAAATATCTTTCTCTTTTCAAAATTTTCACCATATGTTTTCGAAAACTTTAATTTCTTTGTTAAAATCGTAACATATCCCTGTTCCGAGTTCTATTTCAAATCTCCCCTTACTTTCAAAATATCTAAAACTACTTTTAAAATGAAGGAGCTTGGACACTCGTACATGATGATTACCGCATTGCCGCGATTGCCGTGTTGCTGCCTCATCTCTCTCTTCGGAATCGACCAGACAAGTCTCTTCCCATTAGAAAGCCTTAGGAAACCCTAAGGAAATCAAAGAAGATGCCAAGGTTGAAACTTTCAAACTACAAAACCCCTGAAGTTAAGTGGCATAGCCAGAAAATCCAACTCGAGTTTCAAGCTTGTGTAACTCGTCGACATCTCATGTTGAAAACCCTAGAAGGAAAAATGCCCAAGGTGGGTGAGCGCAATGATTTGGATGGATTAGTTGGTGTGCCCTTTGACCACGTGACCTCAGGACGAAATTTAAAATGTTTGCATTATCTTTGACATTCACCTGCCCCTCGAAGGACAGGGAACGCCAAAGTGTTTACTTCTTTGCCACTCACTTGTCCCTCGAAGGATAGGGAGTACCTAAGAGGGGCAACTGTAGACACCCCATTTTAAATCTGGCAAATTCTATGGTTTCTTGAACGCTTAGGACCACACTGACCTAGTAAACCCAAAATCCATAGTTCACACAGCCTACTCTGTGATCCAAAATCAATCTACCTACTCGAAACCCTGCAGAAACCATGTTTTGACCCAAAATCTTGTAGACGCCCTGTTTTACCAAAAAACCCATTAAAAATAGTAAAAAAAATCCATTTTAACCCAAATTTTCTCTGAGAGCTTCATAAGAGTTAAGGAACACAACCAAGTTTAAAAAATTCAATTTGGACACAATTTGATTTGGGCAACACAAGGAGTGTCGCCCAGCCCAGACTAGGCGACACGAGTAGGTCGCCTAGACTTGGGTGACATTGCTAAGGTCGCCTGGGCGACACCACTGGTGTCACCCAACGCCTTTTGTCCTAAATTGAAAATTTTCACTATGGTTTCGTTTCCTTTTCCTTTTTGGTGATTTTTGCCAAATTGTTTTGGGCGACACGTAGATCCGTACCTCAAAATTGGATTTTTTTTGGATGAGGATCTATTCGTTATGGAAAGTTATCATTTCCAACAGATCCTTGATCCCTATAAGATGCCTTTTCGTGGCCATTTGAGGGAGGGCTTGAAAAAGATTGAAACCCTAGCGAAAAAGAGAGAAAAACCCTAGGAAAGAGTTAGTTGAGAAAACCCTATCCCTAACCCTAACCCTGAAAACCCTAAACCTTAGATCTAGGGCACAACCCTAGTTCTAAACCATCTCCAAGGCACAACAACCATTCTTCAATCACAGATATGCTCGTCAACATTCGAATCAGAGAGGCAAAGAGGACGCCGGTTCTGATATGAGCGAGCCCTCGAAGGCTCGGGAGTCTCAAGCCATCAGGCCTAATTTGGTTTTGTTTCTTCCCCTTTCTTTCTTCTTTTTTTACCATTTTGATTCTATTTTATTTATTTTGATATGTTAATCTGCTTTAAAAATCGTGTTTGGATGCTCTTGATCATGTTGGCTCTGCCACAGATATGAGAGTAGATCTGCTCCTTTCTAGGCAGATCTGGTCTCAGATCTAAAATCGAAGTTTTCCACTTTTTCTACCACATCTTTTTCATAAGTTTAAGGTGTCCAGATCTGAGAGGAGGGCAATGAGTCGAGGGGTCCTGGAGTGACTGGGTCGGTTTAGGGCGAAACTAGCCATATGCCGACTATAGGAAAAGGTTTTCTGCATTTTCATTAGTTTAAGGTTTCAAGATCCGAGAGATCTTCATCGGAGGATCTGTCAGATCTTCATCGCAAACAATTAATAAATATATTATTTATTTATAAGTAAACATTATTTCAAAAAGCTGTGGTAAATGTATTATTTACATGTATTATCAAATATATTATTTACTCACAAGTATATAGTATTTAAGAAAAAAATGAAAAATAAAATATAAAAATAAAAACAAAGAGAAAGTTATTTTCCTTTCAATGAAATTGTGATTTCCATAACATGTCCCATAGATATAAAAATATGAATATTATTAGTAATAAACATAGAATTATTGTTAAATATAATGACAATTTCATAGTTCTATTTACCTACTAGTAATTTTTATATTACTAATACCATAATATAATTATTATTAAATTAAAAAACAAATATATATTTTATAGCAATTTTAACATAAGAATATGAGTATTATTAGTAATAGGACACGGTTTCTATGCAGCCAACCCGCATATTATTGAAATGCAGACTTAACAATAAATATATTTTTTAATTATAATTTGATCCTAATTGTTAGAGAATATATAATCTTCAAAATGGAGATCATGAATATGATTTTCTTTTTTAAAAAAAATTAGAAATAACAATTACATTAAGAAAACATTAGGACCCTTAGTTACTTTAGATGGATCACCTATTTGCATCCATCTTTAAGATGGATGCTTTATACCTTTGGACCGCATATTGTAGAAATGCGGTCCAGCCCACATGAAACAATTTTTCTTAGTAATAAGCATTAAATTATTGTTAAATATAATAACAATTCCATAATTTAATTTACATACTAAAATGTTTTACATTACTAATAGCATATTATTAAATTCAAGAATTATTATTATAT